TTTAAAAGTTCATGACCCATGGCTGCAATCCTCCCACTTTCCTGCACAGACGCCTTCTCGCTGTGAGACCTGGGGGCGAGTGACCTGATTTCTGTGCCTCGGTTTCCTTATTGGCCAGATGGGGGCGTTATGGGTCCTTGGAGGGGGCAGCAGTGTCAGAAGGCAGCAGCGCGCAGTACGGGTGCTCTCGCCGGTTCTGAGACGGCAGGGACCACCGAGGGCTGCGTGCCCATGCCCTTCACCTCTGTGCGCTGGCCGTCAAGGCCTGCGGCACTGTTCTAACAGGGGGTTCAAGGACATGGAGACGGCTGTGTTCTGGCCAGTGTGGAGCCGGCAGGCAGCAGTGGTCAGCGCCAAGTTGCCGCCAGCGGCCTCCGGTGCTGGCAGAGGCACCTCGGCGTCTGCGGTGTGGGTGCCCACGCCACTTCAAAGGCAAGGCCCCTCCTATTTTTATCCACCGGCAGCCAGCCCGTGCGCCGGCCTCTTGAACAAAAGGTCCTGCCAGGGCCCTGACACCTTCCGGGCCTCACAGGCTCTTGTCACAAACGACAGGAATGATCTGCGCTGCCCTGCTCAGGGGCGTTCTGCGTCCAAATGCTGTCTGCCTTCTTCCCGTCGCCCAGAGAGGGTGGCCGGTGTGTTCACCATTTCAAAAGCACAGAGAGCGAGGCCGGGAGGCGGCATCATCTCATCGTTACCCAGCGAGGGGCCGAGGCAGGACCCCCGGGGCCAGGGTGACATCCAAGTTCACCTTCCGTGCAAGGCGTCCTGCCGGCTGCCATTGGTGCCACCGTGACCGCTCTTCCCACAGGGGTCCCCTCAAACACAACACGAGACTTCTCACCGACAACTTCCTCTGAAAGCGGACCCAAGATGAAGGAGGACGAAGGGCCCTTGGCAGAGACGAGAGGCGAGGCTGCAGCTCCCAGACGCCCTCCCTTCTCCCAGGGCCGGCTGCCCTCACGGAGCCCTGCAGGCCGCGTAGGCCCCGCCTCTGCCCCGCTCTTGGTGGGTGGCACGGCCTGGCCGCTTCCCTTCAGATCGGCCCGCCCACCGCAGAGCCCCCGAGTCCCCCCTGGCTGGCGAGCGTCTGAGAGCCACGGCCCAAAGGCAGCGTCAGGGAATATGAGACGGGGACTGTGTTTTATTAAGGGGCCGGGACAGACGTGATGTTAAAATGCTCCTTGTCCCCCGACTTCCAGCTCAATTGGGTCTAAATCAGCCCCAGGGAACATATGTCCTGTATGGAAATACATGGGCAAAGGCACCCCCCTCTCTCTGTGTAGAAGTTTCTAGGGGCTTTTCTCATTCGGGGAATCACGGCTGGTTACATGCCTCGCACTTCCACAGATCGCGATGAAGATCTTCTGCTCCCACGTTAAAATCTTCTGCCCACTTAGAAAATTGCTTCCTTTGTACGTCTCGATGAATCCTACGCGTCCCTCGGAACGTGGCCTGGCACCAGGGTTCGTGGGCACGTGTCCGGGCCGGTGGGGACGCGTCCACTGTGTGAGAGCCCCATCCCGAGTGACTGACACGTGAGAAGGGCGGCGTCCGAGGACGTGGCCAGATCTGTCGTGATTCCCGACGAGACCCGGCTCCCTGGTCCTGCACGTCTGAGGCAGAGGCAATCGATCCTTCGCCGAGACCGCATCCGCCTGTCGGGCCCTGTTCTGGGTCTAAGCACGTCTCAGTGGGCGTGGCACTAAAGCTCACCCGTAGATGGAGCTACGTTCTAGTGGGAAGGAGCAAGGTGATGGAGATGAAATGTTACGTTAGGTAGGCGTGAGCCCGGGGGAAGAATAAAGCAGAGAGGGGCACAGCGAGTTTGGGGGAGAGACTGGCTGAGCCTCGACCCTCTGGGGTCCGAGTAAGGCCTGAAGGGAAGGAGGTCGGTGCCACGGTGCGTGGTCGGGAGACAGAAGGGTCAGCAGGTGCAGGTGCCCCAGGTGTGTTCCCAGGACAGGAAGGGGCCGGCGGGGCTGCAGCAGAGGTGCGGGGGCTGGGGGTGAGGTCAGAGGTGTGGGGGCAGCTGATTTCAGACGCCTGTGGGTCAGAGGAAGGGTGTGGGTTTTCCTTTTCTGAAATAATCCACGAGAGGGCTTCAAACCGAGGACTGAGAGGCTCAGTTGGCCTTCGGTCTTCATCGGGTCTTTTCGGCTGCGGGTTGAGCACAGACCGGAGGAACCAGGGACCGGAGGAACCAGGGACACTGAGTCGTCAGAGTCAGTCATCCAGGCCGGGCTTGCGCTGGTTCGGAGGTGGTGCTGGCAGCGGTGGCCGGAGGTGGACGTACCTGAGTCTGTGCAGACCGAGATGGGGGCGGTCTCAGTGCCTCCGAAGGTGTGACCTGAGCACTTGGGGACGGGAGGACGCCTGTGCTCCGCCCTTCACGTGCTGCCTCACGGCGTCTACTTCGTGAAGGTCGTGGTCGAAAAGGCAGAAGTAGTGCCGTCCAATTCTGTTCGCCTTCACTGGGGCGGGTCCGGGACACGGTGCCGGTGCGGGTGCCGCCGAGTGCGGACGGGGCGGAGGGACGGAGGGGGAGGCAGGGGCTGGGAAAACCCGAGTCCGCTGGAGGCGCCCTGCCCGCCGCGCACGTGCAGGCAGGGTCTCGGCCAGGAGAACGTTTTAGCTTTTAGGAAGGTTTACGGAAGGAAATAGTTTGAACTTCAAAACCTGCGTCGCATTAAAACTTCGTCAGCTCCGGGGGCCGTTCACCTCTGTCCCGAGAGGGCCTCAGGCTGCACCTCCTTCTCCAGGGTCAGGCCTTCCCTGCCGGGTCAGCAGTCACCAGGCAGCGTGACAAGGGAGCTGACTCAGCCGCCTCTCAAGCAGGCTGAGCGGATAACCCCACACTTGATGCGCACGGAGACAGACGTGGCTCCTGTGAGGCCGAGAAGGACCCTGGGCTTCTCGGAGCCTTGCAGCTGAGCCTTGGGCAGGGCCCCGTGGAGCCTGTTACTACAAGGGACAGAATATCCTCCCTCGAGATGAACTGGGTTGGGCACCGGGCGGCCCCCGCAGGACTAGCCCCAAACACAAGGGCCTCCCGAGTCTGTCCCAGCACCTGCCGAGCCCCCAGCTGGTGGCCCTGGAGACACCCCTTCCGCAGCAGAAGTTCGAGGGTAGTAGGAGGCGGAGAGAAAGAAGCCGTCAGGTGGCACCTCGCGCATGAGGTCACTTTCTCACACTGGCTTGAGTGGAGGGCTCCCGTGTAAGTGCGTCGATTCTTTCCATAAAAACACAGCCATACCGGGAGCCACAACCAGGCCCCTGGTTGTAGGGTCCTCCTGGGGTCCCGACATCAGACACGCAGACGCCAGAACCAGAGACACACCCCTGTGATTCCCAGTCCCTTCGGTCCCCTCTGGCTCCGGGCCTGTCACCTGGCTTCATTCCGCCAGCCAGGCAGAGGACAGCTTGCCCTTGGGGACCGAGACTGACAGAAGAAGAGTGGGGCATCGTGTGGGGATGTACGGTGTTAACATGGGGGTTTGGCACACAAGTGGCCTGGGACATTCTGGGCGCAAACTACCGCACCCCTGAAAGGCCTGTTTGTTTGCTCCGCGGGGCACATCCATCTGCACGGAGACCGCCGGGGGTTTGTCCCCTGTGGTGAAGGCCGGGGGAAGCACTGAGGCCCCAGGACCTGCAGCGAGTCGGAGGCGTTTGGGGGCATTCGGTTCTGCTCCCCGCCCTGTGGCCTCCGCCAGGGCTGCGCCGCCTCGGGCAGATTGCATTCTGTACAAAACAGGGTTTTTAAGAACGTTAGTGCTATTGACTTCCTCTTTCAGTATCACACTTCCAGGTTCCCCCGGCCCCGCAACACGCCCCACGGCGGGTGTTGTTGGTTCCCCAGTCGAGAACAATGTGCCCGAGCCCCGTGCTATGGGGTGTCACTCAGCAACGCTTCCAGCTTCTGACTTCCCAGGTTCCATTTCTATGACAGTTTGGAAACTAAGCAGGTGGGGAAAGACCAGAAAGCCAGGTCTGCTCTTCCGTCCGGTGTCTGGGACGCGCTGTCATGGAAGTGTGCGCACTCAGGTGCTACTTCACACTTCCGAGTGTGCTGGGACCCTTTCTCTTTCCGGCTGTCACCCAGGCAGGTCGGTCCCCTGCGCGGGCACCCAGGAGCCTCTCCGGTGTTTCTGGGGGTCCTGGAGACCTTGGCTCTCACCCCCGCAAGCCGCTCTGGTTGCAAAGTCCCGCCTGCCCAGGCCTCTCCAGGCTCCGTCTGCGGCCAGGTGACATGGGGTCTGGAATCCGCCCCTGGGGCTCTGTGGGGCTCTCCCACAGCAGGGACCCCAGGGAGATTTGACACAGGCGGCAGAGGATAAGAGCTAAATTCCCCTTTATCATGCTGACTGTGAACACTCCTCATGGGCCACAAAATTTCCTGTTGGTCCCGTCAGGAGGGTGAAGGACGTCTCAGCTACGCCAGCCTGTGTGTGACTGTGGGCGCCGTGTTCTGTGCTCCTTGAGGACAGGGCTTCACTGAGCCATCTCGGTGTCCCCAGGCACACAGTCAGACGCCCGGAAACAGAGGGTGTTCAGTGACATACTTGTTAAAGGACGGAGGCAGCCACTGCCCAGTTCAGTTCGGTGCGTGTTTGCTGCATTCAGTGGGCGGCGGGGAGAACAGCGGATTAAACACCCCTGAGAAACGTCAGGAGCCCAGTGGGTCAGGGTGCATTTCTGGGTTGTAAACACGTCCTATTAATTTTGTGCCGAACGCAGGCCTCGGGAGAGGGTGGGCTGTGTGCCGACGGGAGTGATGTGGGCGGACAGACACCCCGGGACCCGAGTGACGACCGGCAGTCAGGGCGGAGCGGACGTGGTGACCTCGGAGCTGCGGGTTCCATGGGTTCAGAGACGGAGCGCACACCCTGCGGCAGAGCGCCAGGGGACTGGGTCCTGGAGGCACTGGGTCAGGGCACCCTGTGTCTTTTGCAGAAACCACAATGAACAAGGTGTCCTAACCTCTTCCTTGCCTCTAGGAGAGTGGGCACTCCCTGTCTCTTCCTGGAAGACCAGCCCCGCCCACCGCCTCCACAACGCCCCCGTGGGCGCACTGGCCTGCTGGCATCTGCCGTCCCCATCCCAGCGAGGGGCTAGAGAGAGCACGCAGCGGGCTGGCTCCTTGGGAAGCAGCGGCCCAGGTTCCCCTTGGCCTCGCCGAGGACGCCTTTGAACCCAGGGACATCCGGGAGTCCATCGCAGCAAACGTGGTCTCGGCAGCGCGGAGGAAGGTGCTTCCAGGGCCCTCGGAGGATTGGAACGACCGGCTGCCCCGAGTCCTTCGGGCCCCGGGGGCCAGCACGGGCTCCCTGGGGAGGCGAGAGTGGGGTGCTGCACCCCTACCCGGGCACCGAGTGCCCCCCGGCTCCCAGTGGTCCTCTGCGTGTTCCTGGCAGCTGTCCAGAACCGGGTCTGAGATGATGTCCCTGGAGACCAGGTCCGATTACGGTCTCTCAGTGGCCGGTGGCAACTATAACCCACAGCCCAGGGGGTGGAGACGCCAGACGTGAAAGGTAGCAGAGCCGACCGTGTGCCCTGTAACGGTGAACGTTGGAAACAGTAAATGTTCAAAACGCCCCTCTGCGGAGTTCTGACGTCTTCAGCGGTTTTGCATTCACTTGGGTCTCTGCTCACTCTCAGAAGCCACTTTCCTGAGTGTTTATCAGTCCACACACACACACACACACACACGAGTGCGGGTCATTTCCCCGTTTGCTGACGCACAGAGAACTTCTCGGAAGAAAACAGTGCATTTTCTGTGTTGATATGTTGGCCCTTGTATCTAATTCATAATCTTAATTCCACTCATTCCACGGTGTGGGGTTGCCCAGGCAGTAACCCTGCTCGGTTAAAACGAAACTCAGTGTTTTCTCCCGTGTGTCTCGGTCCAGGAAGGAATTGAAACGTGATGCACTGACGGCCATTAGCAAGTCACATGGAGGGATAGGACGTTGGGAAGTCATCGCTGGGAGTGGGCCGGTGAATAATAATTACATGTAAAAACAGATTTCCGTGATGTCACTTTAAGCAGTTGTCAGACATTTGAAAAATCTAATACAATTCAACATTTTTTATAGAGTTGAGATACAGGCATTCTCAGAAAGAAATATCTGAGAGCAAGAGAATCAAACGTTTCAAAAGGCCTTTTGAGGTAAATGGTAGAATGTGTGGGGCATGGAAGGATTCAGGTGTAGGGTTTATTTTAATCTCTTTCAAGCCAGCGGCCTGAGATGGGCAGACTCGGGGGTCGGTTGCCCATCCTTGTTGCTCAGCACTGCAGCTTGGGACCAGGTGAGGAGGGCGCCGACGCTATGCAGGTCACCGAAGGTCCTCGAGGGATCACTGGGCTGCAGGTTTTGTGCTGCGTACCCCACGGACAGGGGTTGACGTGAATAACCAGCTGTCAGTGGGTTTAAGGAAGTGGTAGATGGATGTGTCTGTCGTTACGCGATTGGAGGTCGGGGCCGTTTATTTAGTCATAGAAAACACGCCACAGCAGCCTATGCAACCAGGGGCGTTTCTTCAGAAAGCCGTCACCGGGCTGCCCGAGGAGGCCACGCAGCTGCTCCTCCACCCGCGTGGGCGCCAGGCCGGTGACCGCCAAGAGGCAGGCCGTCCCGCGCCCACTCCCGCCTGCGCGTCCCACCGAGCTCTGCCCCCTGGACACAGCCCGCGTGCTTCACCTCAGAAGCCAGTACTGGGAGTGCTTTAAAATACAAGATGGCTTGGGGACTGAAAATCCCCTTAGGGTTTTGAAAGGCATTACTTTTGCTTTGTTTTACTCTTTAACTCTTGCACTTGATCATTATGATGCTGTCTTTCACTGAAAAAACTTTGAAACTGTTTCCCCTGAGCACAAGCAATCCCTTAGCTTAGAAGTGAAAGCACACAGATGGGAAGTGGTCACAGCCAGCGCCAGCACAACGGACCAAGTGGACACCAGTTTACGTAAGTTCGGCAGAGAAGATGACGCTTTCTTGGGGCGCGGAGTTAAGTCACCGTGAGCCGACCCAGTGTTCGGGCTCTCAGAGGGCGCGGAGTGGTCCCGAAGAGTTTCCGTGGGGTGTGGAGAAGTAACGCCCGATGTGCTGGTGAGTCTGTCAGCGGATTCTCAGGAACTCCCACGTGAGACACTCACTGGCGTCTCGTGGGACGCCATCGTGGTCCAGTGTTCCCGACGCGAGTGTGTTCAGCCGTGGCCGACTTGGCAGAAAAGACTTGGCCTGACAGGATGGGATTATGTTTTGTCGCCTGCGTGCTCTTTGGCGGGGACGCCCGTTGCTCCTGGGACCTGGCGCGGGCCAGCCCCAGGTGCGCTGTGCACCGCCGTGCTTACTGCCGCTGCCGCGGGACTCGAGACACAGAGGAGCAGCCGTCTGCAGCCAGCAGGGTCGTTCTGAGACAGCCGCCCCCCTCCCGCGCTCTCACTGTCCTGGGTCACACTCGGGAGGGAATGGCCGTCTCAGGGGTTTTTCAGAGATCCGTGTTTCAGGTCGCAGTTTGCCGACACGGCTCTGAAAGGCAAGACGTTGTTGTCAAACCGTCACACCATGCGTCATTGGTCTGTACTGCAGGCCGGTCGGATTGCTTCCGTTCAAGCCACCCCGGGGCCAGGCACCCACGAGAGGACACAACCCCCTGCCCGTCCGGTCAGAACAGCCCTCCACAGGGGAGCTGGGGCTCGTCACTCAGGCCACACTCCCAGAGACCGCCCCTCGCTGTCCCAGCCCTGCAGGTGGCCGGAGGCCCTGCGTTGTCACCACGAGTCGGGGAGCCCTGACAGAGCGTGGCCGAGGGCCGCTCCTTCAGCACTTTCCTCGCTCCTGGGTTTAAACAGCCTATCGGTGCATGCGTGGGACGTGTTTGCTGGTAACGTGGTTTAATTGCTGTCAAGTGCTTTGAGCTTCCTAAACTCGGGATTATAGTTCCTTCTCTCTCAATAAGCCTCTTTCACATTAGGCCCATAACTCGAGCGGGAAAGGGCCACACCCTGTGGGGTCCCAGGCAGGTACGTATGTACCGATGCATTGAAACTCCGGGCAAAACTCAGTGTATCCAGTAGGCTCAGCTATTGTAACCAGAGAGGAATGGTAGGAATGTTTCTTTTTTAAGAGGAAGTAGACTTTCACACTGAATTTCTAGTCACAGTAGAAGTGTCCACACTGTCCACATTTTTTCACTAGAAAAACAGTTTTCCTGCTCATTGTATTGACATTTCCACCCATGTTCACCCCAAATCCTGTACTGCAAAGACGCACACTGAAATTCAGAATCACATAATAAAAGGTGACTTGAAAATCAGCTTCAAGTGGCTTTTCATTTTTCCGTACAGAGAATTGCTTTGGAGTGGTCTTCGCCCCAGAGAGGACGCGATCTTATCTACTGAACACTGCACATTTTTAAGGGTTAGTTTCTGCAGTGTCAGCTTCCAGATGCCCCAGAACTTCATGCTCATTGGCAACATCGTTACTGTAACATCTACAAACTTCAGAAAAACCTCATTGAGAATATGATCCATTTCAAATGCCAGCTAAGAAGTTGGCGATCCAAACACACGTTCGTACTAGTCTTTTTAAATTCCTTCCTTCACAGGACACGGGAAGTCGGTCCTGAGCACAAGCAGACCGGTGGTGATGTGACTCTGTAAGGACAGGTGGCTGTGCTTCTAAAGTCACTCTGGGCGCGGAGAACCTCCCAGCGACTTGTCCCCTGCGGGCGGGCCCAGACTGACCCGGTCCACGAAGCCTTCCTTCTCACGGGGCGAGTCTGAGTAAGACTTTCAGAAAACGGCTTTGGCTCTTCCTACATAACCTTAAACTATCAGCTGCACCGTGAGCTGCCCGGCCAATCGGTGCCATGCAGTGCAACTTTTTGACACTTTGGGGCACAAATGCTGAATAAAACAGCTGTTTCTGATAGTCTCATAAAAAATATTTTTTAGCCCTGGCTGGTGTAGGTCAGTGGATTGAGCACGGGCCTGTGAACTAAAGGATCATGGTTCAATTCCCAGTCAGGGTACATGCCTGGGTTGCAGGCCAGTTCCCAGCAGGGGAGGCACGAGAGGCAACCACATACTGATGTTTCTCTCCCTCTCTCCTTCCCTTCCCCTCTAAAGATAAAGAAATAAAAAATTTAATTATATATATATTTATTTATTTATTTAGAGAGCCAGGCAGCCCTTGGAAACACACTTCCCAAATAAGGGCTGTTCTAAAGATTATATGACAGATGGGCCCCTTCTTCAGACCCAAGTGCTGTGGGGACAGCCCCGTGTCTCTGAGGAACCCTCAGTGCTGGACGCACAGTGTGGAGAGGAGAGGACTGTGCTGCCGTCCCCACGTGGAGCCCCAAGGCCCGAGGCGGCCGGAGTGCAGTTCCCTGGTGTCGCTGGGCAGCAGTCTCCCAGAGCTGTGCGGGCCCCCGTGTGTCCCTGGCCAGCCAGCCTGCACCTGGGAGGGGCACTGTCCCTACTCACTCCCATGTGGCTGTGGCTGTGGCCATGGCCTTGTCAGAGTGGCTGCGAGGAGCACAAAAGCCCAGGACAGGAGGCGGGAGCCTGCAGCCGGGCTGAGCCCGGACCTGCCCGAAGGGCCCTCCTGTCTGCAGGCCCAGGTCCCCGGTGGCTTTTCCTGTTGCCCCACATGCCGTTGATACCACAGCTCTGCTCCGGGCCTGCTCAGGGGCCGCAGAACAAGAGCAGTGCAGAGCGAGGGGTTCCCCCGCCTCCGACGCGGTATCGTCTGGCCCTTCCTGCCGGTGGATCCCCTCTGCGCTTCCGTTCAGACACCTCCTCTCTGGTCTCCCGGTGCGGTGACCACCACTCTGACCAAGGGCAATAAGAAATGCCTGTCGTTTCCTGAAGCTGGGCCTCCCCGAGGGCTGGGAGGGGGGAACAGAGCGCTGATCTGTGAAAAGCAGTCGGAGTTCAGCGCTCAGCCAAGCCCGGCCCTGTGCCCGGCGGAAGTGGCTGTGCCCTGAAGCCCAGCCTCCCACGGGCCCGCCCGTCGGCCACCGTGGGGTGGACGGGGAATATCCGGGTTCCTCACTTTCCACAGAAAGGAAGAGATTGAGAGAGAGATGAGAACGCGCTGCTCGGGGTCTAACGGCTGCCCTGTAGGGAAAAATGAGAGAGGTGTGGACACGCAGCATCGGTACTGTGCCCGGGAAGTCGTACACGAATTTGTAACACGATTTCATCTCGCCGTTGTGTTGCTATAAAATTGTTCTTAAAATAAATCACATTGAAAGAGGTCCATTCCAAGATCAAAAGGAGGAGGGAAACAATGAATTTTCGCTGTGAGTATAAAACGTTTTGCTGCCGTGAAGACATTGATATCGACGGCACAAATATTTCCCCAAAAGGACACTCGTTCACTGGGAAGAGTCTCCCTCCAAGCACTAAACCACCCAACGTAACACCTCCCCCAAGGCCTGGTTGTTTGAAGTTATCAGGGGCAAGCTTCGACTTTAAGGTACAAAAGAGGGGCTTCTGTGAAGACCCCGATGTCTAATTTCCCCGGCGAAGGGAAACATCGCTTTTTATCATCACGAGGGTGTGGGCAGGTTTCACAGCCTGGACCCAGTTTCGGGTCCTGCCCTGGACTTTTCTTCTTGGGGCGATGAGATCTCTCTGTAGCGGCAGTGCACGCCACGCCTCTCCCCGAGTGGGAGGTGGGCCTACGTGGGCTCGCCTCAGTCTGTGGCCGTGGACGAAGCCCAAGGAAGGAGGGTGGCCATCACGGCCAGCAGACACCTAGCGATGCCTCTGGAGTGCACCACGTTGACGAGGGCCCAGAAAGCCCCTCGGTGGCAGCACTGGGGGGGCGTGGTCACATTCAACATGCGTTAGTCGTCAGCCATCTCTACCGTCTCCCCCCAGTCCCATAGGGGAGCTTGGTGCCAGGGACTCACCAGGGACCAAACAGAAGTGGCCTTGGCTCCCAGGGAGCTGGCCGACCTGAGGAGGGCGCCATGTCAGGGCAGGGCGACTGGAGGGGGTCACACAGATGACCCCAGCATCGTAGGGACCCCCCCCTGCAGAGTACGAGGGTGGGGGCTCCAGCCCCACAGTAGGCTTTCTGGGAGAGCGGGTGGCAGGGCCGGGTCCTGGGGGCTGAGCAGGGGCGCCTGGCGGAGGGGACAGCAGCCAGAGCTGGGCTCTTGCAGATGGGGCTACTGTCCTCCCAGGGGGAGGGCAGCCCCTCCATGGAGGGCCAGCCAGGGGGGCTGGATGCTGCGGCTTGGGTGCCGCTCCGACGTGGAAAGGCATGCGTGAGGCTTCATGAAATGTTACCCACGGACCCTGCAGTCCGAGTGTCGTGTGTTTTTCACAAGTCACCCAACAGTATTCTTTCACACACTTCTTGAGCACTTACAAATGTTGGGATTATTTGTAGCTCGCTGCGCAAAACAGGTGTCGGGTCAAACTCGGCTGGTGGCCCTGGGGGGCTCGCCCCCGATGGCAGCAGCCGCGGGAGCCCCGCCGGGATGGGCGTGAGCAGCCAAGATCTCGGGAGGAAGTGTGTCCTGGCAGCACCGGGAAGGGGGGGCCTGAGCAGGACACAGGGACGACGGACAGACGGAACTGCCAGTCTTTCCCTGTGGACAGGCAGGCACCCCCTGCCTCCCAGAGCACTCTGGGGGGTCAGTTGGCCGGAAGGCCCCCGGGCCTGCCCGTTCCCGCGCCGCTCCCCTCGCTGGGCCACCGCTTCCTCCTCCTCCCCCGACTCCCTCTCCCTCCCTCACTCCACCCTCCCAGCACAGCGTGGCTGCCAGCTGGCTGCCTCTTCACAGGCCTCTCTGCCGAGCCCAGGGCGGGGGCCGGTGCTGACCTGGCCCCTGCGGCCACTGCCCTGACTTCTGGGAAGACAAGGGGGGCCTTAGGGCGACTCGACCCTTAGCCAAGCCGCCCACACCTGTCCGATGAGGTCACCGTCTTCGGGACACTACTTTCCGGTTGACAGGAATAACGGCCTTTGTTGTTTTTTATTTCCACTTGAATTTGGCCGAGGAAGCAAGGCCGTCTGGGAACACTGCAGTATAATCCGAGCCCTTCTCCTTTGCTAAGTCATCTTGGTCTCAAAGTCCCGGAAATTGTGTGTGCTTCAGCACCAAAAATTATTTTTAAAGGATTAAGAACTCAAATCAGAATATTTTCGGTAGCTTTTCAAATCTCGCAGGCTGTTAAAACCAGCAGGGGCCTGGAGACCCCGCAGTGCTGCTGCGGCGGGAGTGAAGGGCCAGGAGGCGCCGGCCCTCTGCCCCTCCCTGTGCTGCTCCTCCTCCCCAGGCCTGGTCACAGAGCTTTGAAAGTGCGTGGAGCCGGGACCCGGGAGGGAGGTGGCGCCAGCAGGGCCGCTCTCTCTGCAGAAGCTCCCCGAGCGAGCCCTGAGCACCCCCAAGTCACTGCCACTCCACGTGACCTCTGTGGTCACACTCCCGAGACCCCACCTTGAACGTAAAGCTCACGGAGGAGACGCGGCCCCCTGCCCCGCGGCCGACTCCTTGTCCCACCTTCTCCCTTAAGGCCGGACCACAGCAGGCACCCCCCTGCCCAGGTGGGGACTACGGTCTCCTAGCTTCCTGTCACCCCGCCCCTCACTGACCACAGCGGTCCTTGGCCCATGGGCTGCCCTTCCTGCTGGCCCCTCTCGTTGCACCTTCCTATACGGTCCCTTCACCTTTGGGTGGCACAATGACGTAAAACCCTTCTGCTCCGGCCTGTGCTCCCCACCGACCTGTGGGGGGAGAGGGTTCCGGTTGCAGCAGGCACAGCCACACGCCTGCTGGACTCAGGCCTCAAAGGCGTACGTACCGAGCGCCAGCTGAGTCCGAGCCACCGCGCTCCTGCCTGGTCTGGTGGACGTGGTCTCGGGAGCTGGCGTGGGGGGCAGGGGGGAGCTCGCTGACAGTTGAACCCACTGGTGGAGCCTGGGATCAGCCCAGGCGTCTGCTTTCCTGTGCTTGTCCTCTGCCCCGGTAGTCAGGCAGCCTGGGTTCGAATCCCCGGTTCTGTCACTCCCTTGCTTTGTGACTTCAGCCAATTTCTTAACCTCTCTGACCCTCGACTTCCTCGTTTATAGGACAGCAAACCCACGTGCCTACTCCACTGCCAGACCCCGGGCTCCGGAGCCCGGGAAGGAGGAGCCGAGTTCTGTCTCCTGTCTCTCGCCTCTTCCCCTCGGTCTCCTGCTTCCTGGCGTGGGCAGCAGACACACGGGTCTGTAAGCTGCTCGTCAACCCAAGGATCTTGCAGGCCTGGGGCAGGGGGCTCCCACGGAAGGGCTTCCACTTGCCACACA